GGGCAAGACAGGAGGAAGGAAACATGAACATGACAGAAACTAAAAACAAAAACAACACAGACAAAAATGGTAAGATTATGAGCTTTAATAAGTAAAATTATCCCAGCTACAATGACAGACAACAAATATTACATTTATAGTATTACAACTAAAATCGTTTTTGACGCCGCCACCGCAGTTTGTCCCTCATGAGCCTTTGTAGACAAGATGGCGGTGCAAGATGGCGGCTGCCTGTAGTGGCGACCCGCGACCATGGAGATATAAACAGCTTTTTATAAGGTAAAAATAATAAAAGAAGGTCTTTGTCTGCATTGATTAGACATGTTTTTTATTATTGTCATTAATGATTATCTCAATTTCGGCTAAAAGAATTGACAAAATCATACACACTGTGCCTTTAAAAAATGTTAAAGTCATGTAAAGTTACTCTCAACTGTCTGATGTAACCCCCAACCCCGGTCAGTGAACCAATCAATAAGCAGCAGTAGCTGATGTCAGATTGGGCCGGGCATTGACTATGAAGTCAATGGGCAAAATTTATATAGATAAGAGTCACATTAAATGCAAGTTGTGTACCAGGAGGAAGAAAGTTCCCACATTTTACAAGAGAACCAAAAACAAAGTTTTGGAAACAATGAAGGCAGTCCATGATGATGCATTCAAATGAATTAATAATTATTTTACTATCACCTTGCAGTCCTTTGACATGTAATAAAATTGGAGCGTAACGCCTTCATCCCTAGCTTTTTTTATAAACGACATTCAGTTTGTGTCCTCACTTCCCCCTCTGTCCATCCTATATGGTCCCAGGCAGGCTGGTGTTTACTCACAGACTTGACTGGCACGTCCCTGCAAGGATTCGGCAGTACAGCGGGATGTGCTTGTGGTTGGATTTCATTTATCTAGCGGGTCTGTGGGGATAGGCGCGGCAGATGTGATGTTTTTGGAGCCAGATGTGTAGCGGTACTCGCTTCCCCCAGTGTGGAGCCACCACAGTGTCTGGCTGGCTGTCAGCCTGGCTCTGCTTCAGGAAGCATGGAGGCAGCCCCCGTGTGCTATCTGCATGTGTGTGTGTGTTTGAAGACTGGATCGCTGACGGGAATCTGCTGCGTGTCCACCCATGTCTGAGGCTTTTGCGGTAGTGAATAAAACACGTTTAACACTTAGCCGCGATTCAACCTATCATCATCTGATAGCGGTGGATTCTCAAATGTCACAACAAGCACACTCCCACACTCGTCCCTGCTGCCGTGGAACGTCTGCAGGTCAGGGCAACACTCGAGGAAGATTCTCTTCCTGCGCGCCGCGGCTTTGATTTGGGCCAAGATCGACCCGTGAATAAATCTGATGGGTTTTAATGAGGTACAAGGTCGAGCGTTCCACCTGAACTCACCCATCTATACCAATCCCCCTCCCGAGTGTAAAAACACCGCCCGGCACTGTACATTATGCTGCTACACAAAAATGCATGCAACCAATTAAAGAAATGACCCTGGGATTTTCTATTGCAGCCGTGTTTTATATCTAACAAACACCAATATAACAACATAACAGTTAATGGGTATGTTTTTAATTGGAATAAGTTAAAAAAAATATTCAGCAGAAAGTACATCTCAGTAAATAGCTGCAGAAGAAAGTTTTTAAATCTCCAGCGAACAAATGAAATGCTTATTCAGTGTGTTCAGTAATCTACAACAGTTCAAATGTTCTGAGTCTAGTCAGAACAAGTTAGTCATAGTGACTCAGATAAACAAGAAAACAATTAAATCAGTTTTTCTTGGATTTGTATCCTGTTATATGTTGAACCAATCAGGATTATCTGCTTCATTTTCTTCTCCATTACTGTTTTCTTATGCTACTTAAAAAAAAGGGGGGGGGGGGGTGATTATGTAGTTTTCCAGGCACATATTTCAGTTTTACAGTATACCTATCAATGCTACCTTCAGTTGTTATGAAAACAACCTTGACATATTTGCCTTTAAGAAACTCCTACCATTTCTGACACTCCGACTTCAGCAAGTCTTCACAACAATAATTTGAGGGGAGGGGTGTCCTGTTCGGGTCTGAGCTCCATGGAGGAGCTTTGTGTAAATCGGCGGAGCTTTACACCATGGCATAAATAAGTTAAAGCAACACTCTGGGTATGTTTTTGATGAGGGAAAGACGTTATAACATGATATAAAGCTTGGTTTTGCATAATCCCCCCTCCCCCTTTAAGTAAGACATTGCTAATCTTTGCTTTTAGCTACAGTTGAGCAAATTTTAGTTTGTAGCTCCTTTACTATAGATTTTAGTTTTTATCTGCTGTTTTTAGCTTCAGTTTTGCTTGTTTGAACTTCAGAAATTCAGTTAAAAATTTATTCAGCAAGCCCACAGCTTTCACATTTTATTTATGAAAAAAAATCTCTAGTTAAAGTTTTTGTTGGAGCTGCAGGATGCAAAAACTGTGTCCAGAAAGACTCCTGATTATCTGATGTATTTTAATAAAGTGCTGGGCGGTATACCGTTTTGTACTGAAAACCGTTTTTTTTTTTTGTTATGACATGAATTTTCTGAATACCGGACATATCGGTTTAAATAGCCTAAACATGTTCAGAACGTTTCATCGTGGCCGCCAGTGAACTGTTTCCCAGGGGACACTTTTCCTCGCAGCACCGCTATGTGCATTAGCATGCTAATGTTATTGTTGGAGCAGCTTGTTGGAGTAACTGGCGGTGGGTGGTGTTTCAGCTGCTTATATTGACTTAAGTAAAAAACCATCCTGTTTTCACCTTCGCTGAATGTAGTAAACACCTCTTCAGTGACGTGCACATTAGATTTAACGTGCGGAGACATTATGCTAATGGAGACTTTAATGTGCTTCTAAAAGCCCAGGGGAAGTAGTTTTGTAGTAGAGCTGAGTTGACTGGTGTGCAAGGTGAGTTGTGCTTTTAAGTTTTATTAACACACAAGGATAAAGCCCTTCACAATTGGATCAAAATGCATGATTACAGTCTACAACCAGGCAAAGAAGAAAAGACGTACAAGAGGAGGGAAATGGCAACACTGACAGAGGTACAGTAAAAGAAAAAAGTCAATAAGCAACATTTTTACATTTTATTATCAGCTGAGCTGTGATGAAAAAAAATACCGTCAAATATCGTGATATAAAATTCGGGTCATACCGCCCAGCTCTAAAAGTGAGTGACCCACTGAGTTGTTTTTCCATTTTTTTTATAGCTCCACAAAGAGTTTTGTCAGCAGAGAGGTCAGAAAGATAAAGTCTTTTCAGACAGTTTTCTGATTACAGCGACCCGTCTACCTGCTGGTGGTGCGGGTGAAGAAGGGTCTGTCATTGACTGAAGGCACGGACTCGTCCATGAGTGGATAGGACTTGATGAAAGTCAGGGTTTCATCAGGGAAGGTGGTGGATGTCTTGTAGGCAGCTGCAGAGCCCTCGCCGGCGCAGCTGCCTGGTCTGTATGATAACAGCAAAGAGAGAAAAAAAAAACACATCGGGCATAAATCCGGTTCAACAGGCACAGATGTAAAAACACTTGCAGCTATTTGTTTTTGGGGGCGAGCAGGCGGGAAAACAGGTGTCTTATGAGACTGCTTGTATTGTCTTTTTCTTCTTCTTTCTTTCTTTTCAGAAATGTTTGCACAGAATAATAACTGCAGCTGCAAAAACTGTACAGGCACAAACGAGCAGTTGGAAAGTGACAGTTTGCTGTTTTAAAAACGCTTCCTTACCTTGGCTTGGGGACTTGTTCCTCTGGAACAGGTGTCCAAGCCGTCTCACTGTTCCTCTGCTCCTTGAATTTGCCGTTGAAGGCTTTCTCTATGTCGTCCATGTAGAACGAACAGACTGCTGAGCCCGTGATGCTGTTCAAGGGGAGCAAACAGAAAAGCCACAGCGATGAGCGAACTCAAGTCTGAATTAGATTTTAAAAATTCGATTGAAGCTCTGTCTATGTTTCCCTTTTTTTCTATTTACTTAAAAGGTTTTCACAATGATTTTTTTAAACATTTTGTTTTATTAGACACTTAGACAAACCTGACATGCTTCAACATCAAGTATCTAATAAAAGAAAACTTTAAGACTTTATTAAATATAGACAATTTATTGGAGTATTATCACCGTACATAAGGAATTTTATTTTATAATTAACATTTAAGCCATCATCTACCAATTATAAATGTGTTTTATAACAATTTCTTTGCATAAACTTCCTTTCTGAGGATAATCCAAGCCTCTGAGATAAAAACAGAAATAATGACCTCAGGTAAAAAGGTCTTTGTAGCTGCTCAGGGCAACATATTCCAGATAACTGAAGTCCCATCCAAAAAAAAAAAAAAGACCATCCATAAAATTTAGGAAGGTCTGGACGTCAGCCTCACCTTGTAAATCTAGAAATATTGTTTTTAACCGACAGTAATAATCTCCTAACCTGTTGGCCTGTGTGGTAAAAACTCCGAGGACGGCTGGCCGGTGGTTTATCTGCAGCACGTTGGTCAGCGACTGCAGGACGTCAAAGTAGAAGAAAGAATCTCCAGGCACCGAGCAGTTCAGACGGGCTTTGAGGAAAGACGTCCAGTATCGCTCCAGAACCCTCGGGGAGCCCCCGTTGTCGTTCTTACAAACACGTGCCACTCTGGAGAAAACAACCTGAGGAGGAAGGAGTGTAAATATAAAAAAGTGATTTATAAAAGCAACACACCCGGGCTGAGCCAACAAGGAACACTGAATAACAAATGTGCTCTGCATGACAAGCAGGACTCGTTGGAGTTCGTTGTGCTTAGAAAGAAAATTGTTGATCCCACTCACCTTCCCTAGAGTGGTGTACTCCACAGCAATCTCGCTGAAGAAAAAGTACACGTAGTTCCCGTACTCGATAGCATGAAGGAAATGAGGTTCTGGAGACGAGAACAAAAAATAAAACTAAACAAAATGATGTCAAAAACCAGCGTAAGAGCCGTGCCTTATTTCCAGTTTAACTCAGCCTCATAAACAGAGAGTGTGGTGGTAAACTCAGAGATGGAGGAGAAATGCTATGAAAATTGCAACATGGGTCTATTATATTGAAGAAGCACAGATGGGTCTGGATCAATAGTCTTGCTGATCAACAGCTCATGCTGGAAAAACAAAACAAAACAAAAAAAATCTGAATAAAGCCATGGTTCAGTCATTACATTTTTAAAGTACATTTGATTAAAACATTTTTGGTTCATATTCAGACATTTGCAACTACATTTTCAGGCTTGTATACATGTGAAAAAGTTTTAAACTTAGACATATACCAAAATTTACATAAAGAACCGACGACGTCATCCAGTGCTCTGAAATTCAGATACAAAATGAACATCTGGCTGAAAGTAGCAGCATTCAGAATTGGCTAAAACAGTTTTATAACCTCATTAAGTGATGTTGCTTGAGTTGGTGAAAGTAAAATAAAGAAACATGCCAGTACGATGCAACACGTTCCAACTTTTAAATAAAATAATTGTGTTAAAGAAAACCAGCTTCAGGGTCGGCAGCTTGCAGGTTTCTTTTATTAGACTGCATTTATTTATTTAGCTTGATGCTATTTGATAAGGGAGATACACACTCAGTCTATCTGTGAAGAATGCTTTACATACAGCACTTTCCTTTCTTTTCACACAAACAACATCCACACAATGTCCTCCCTTTCAGGTCTGTTGAAAAGCTTCAAAGATTGTGCAACAACGAGCACTAATTATGAAATCAGCAGAGAATTAATCAGAAATATTTAAGCTAAGATTGAGACAATTCAAAACAGAGAGGATTTTCTTTTTCTCTCTCATTTGGACACATACTCCAAACCTCAAAACGATGATTAAAAAAAAACAACAACTTATATTTGTACAGAACTTGAATGAAAATGTTGCGAATCGTTTTATGTTGAATTAGAACCTGATATTTTCATCATCTTTTTATTGCTACACAGAAAAACTGGCTCAAGATGATATAACTGAGCCAAATTTTTTAAATAATTAAAGAAAGATGGATGCTGAGTGCCACAAAATAATAATAAAATAATAATAATAATAATACAAGCCTGATTTGGAAATATTTTGTGTAAAATCAGATCAGAGGATTTTTAGTATTTTGTAATTTGGAGTCTCAAAAACGTACCCAGCTGGTGGACCCCGATTGATTCATGAGAACCCCAGTCTTATTATCTTATTACTAGGATGCTTACCTCGTAGCCATTTGGAGTCATATTTGACTGTACGTAAAACAGGACTGCTTTCACCCAGACTTCTGTAAATGACTGCATCACTGGCCAAAAAGTCAGTCATGGTTGCAGAGTAGAAATCCCCACCTGAGAGATTTAAAACCATTTGTCAGGGATCACAATTACAAATGATAATCCACTTCTTTAAAAAAAAAAAAAAAAAGAGCCACAGACGTCTTTGTGCTTTTTTAGAACGGGGATGAGGAGAACAGATGTTAGAGAACAAACCCGTTTATTAGAACCCTGCGTGAACTTTCCATAAATGTCAGCAGAAACCTGACAGGACTGGGAGCTGGTTTTACTCTCCCGTCTCTTCCCCGAGTCTGACCTCAGCTGTTCAGTGTGTATCAGCTTGCGTTTCTGCTACCATTAGCAAAGAAAGTGTAAATCCCAGTACAAACCAGAATCAGCAAAGGAAACATCAAACTGTCCTCCTTAATGAGGCAAACTTGGAAAACAAATTCAATTTTGGCCTTTTAGTTCAACTGTTTTGCACACAAATGATGAAGCTGTAAAAAGAGCAGTCAGTTTTGTTTTTATTTGTTTTTTAAACCTTAATTTCAGAACAAATCCAACAAGTTCTAAACAACTCATTAGAAGTCATCTGAGCTGATTAAAATAATAATTGGATAAAATGCATGCTGATTATGATTTGTAAAGCAACGTTATAATTTTGTCTTTAATCA